GCGCGGCACGGAGGCAATTCCAGCAGGACGAGACCCCCGCCTTCGTTTACGTGGTGGCTGTCTTCTCTGCGCTAGGCGGCTTCCTGTTCGGCTATGATACCGGGGTGGTGTCAGGGGCCATGCTGTTACTAAAGAGGCAGCTCAGCCTGGACGCACTGTGGCAGGAGCTGCTCGTGTCCAGCACGGTGGGGGCGGCTGCTGTCTCGGCGCTGGCCGGCGGGGTCCTTAACGGCGTCTTCGGCCGCCGTGCCGCCATCCTCCTGGCCAGTGCCCTTTTCACCGCCGGCTCCGCGGTGCTGGCCGCGGCGAACAACAAGGAAACCTTGCTCGCCGGCCGCCTGGTCGTGGGACTCGGCATCGGTGAGTTCGGATTCCGCCAAGGGTGTCCCGGGGCCCCTAGAGCCACTGCCCGTGATCCTATTCACTATTATCCTTTCACTGGTATTCTCTTTCCTTTTCCCCCACGTCCCTGTTGGGTCTTGCCAAATCCACGTACGCTCCATTTCTTTTTCCTTGCATATTTGGTGTTACTCTGGTCCCTAACCCCCTCATCCTCCGGGGTGGGGTGCGGTTTAGGCTCTCAAGAGCCCACGCTCGGTCTCCGATCGACCACGGGCAGTTATTGCAGTTGCCGCCTATTGAGCACTTCCAGGACCCAACTGATAAGGAGCTTTTTTCTTGATCCAGCCTTACCTGGTGCCCAGGATTTGCTATGATCTCTTTACTTTCCTGCACTGTCCCACTTTGTTTCTAGGGTTCCCAATTCCAAACCCAGTAGCAAAGTCAAAGTAAGATGATATTTAGAATAATGAAGTAATTCTGGACGCTGAAACTATCCACTGCTATCCCTCTTTCCTTCCATAGGCATTTGTCTTATTTAGAGTATTATTTTCCCTTGTTTTGCTTTTTCACTTTTGTAATGCTTTTCAACTTTTCATCTTTTTTCCCAATTGATTTCCATGTTCTTCTCTTCTGACTTTTTCCTTTGAGTCTCTGTTCACCTGTTCTTTGTTTTGCCTCTCATGCTTTTCTTTTGGGAACCAAATTATCCATTAAAGGCCATGTTCACTTCCTAAATTTATTTAGGAGCGACTCCCCCTGTGGGTAAATGCCCAGCAAGATAGATATTTGCAATTTGCTTCAAAACTGAAGGGATTAAGAATCCTCAGGCATTGATTTTTCACTTTCGTTGCTGTGCAGAGGAAGTAGTATTGGTAAGTTCTTGGCAGACTGAAACCATTTGGAATGTGCTCAGTATTATTAGAAAGTACTTTTGAGGGAAAACTGGGGATTGAAATGTAAATCTCAGTAGTAATTTTTTCAAGACACAGTACTGATGCTTTTTTTTTTTTTTTAATGCTTCATTTCAGAGTTCAGTTTTTGTTTCCTTTAGGGAGCTGTTGAAGTATTTCTTACCTGGGGTTTGATGAGAGCACTTTAAACCTGGGGCTCCTGGTGGTCTGTCCATTCACCAGTTATTTGATGTTCATGCTTTCCACCTCTTATCTGTAAGCTTTTAGGGGAAGTGAGCCTCATTCACAAATCTCTACATGTAGGTACTATGAGCCTAAAACTCAGCTGGTTTTTGCTATTGTGTGCAGTTGAGTTTACTGGGACTCAGAGCAACACTTCATGAGGGTGGGACTGACCCATAGGGTTTCCTAGGTTGTAGTATTTACAGGAGCAGGTCGCCAGGTCTTTTCTCCTGTGGAGCTGCTGAGTGGGTTCAAACCACTGACCCTGCAGTTAGCAGCTGAGTTTTTAACCATTGTGTGCCACCAGGGCTCCCGAATAATTGCGCTTTATGTCTAAAGTCTAGCATTACAGACTTTTTTTTTTGGTTATACTCTCAATTAGTGAAGCTGGGCATGGCTCTTAGTAAAATGCTAAATTGCCCCATCAAAGTCCAAAATGACCAAAAACTCCAAATGAATTGAAACCTCTTTGTATAAGAACTACCTGTGCTTTCAAGACCCTGCAAGAAATAACTTATTAAAACCAAATAATTAGAATCCTTTTCTCAGCAATCTCTGCTTGGGATACCCAGACCACCTTTTGCGTTTCTTCTCCTGACATAGAATTAACATAATTTTAGGTAGCAAATCACTGAACTTTGGTCAGTAACTCTAACCCTTATTTCTGATTTTGAAATTATATAATGTTTTGGGGAGCTCTCCAAATGAAGTAGTGTTTAGGGTTGTTGTTGTTATGTGCTGTTGAGTCGGATCCGACTCATAGCGACCCCTCCTTGGGTTTCCGAGGCGATATCACTACGGAAGTAGATTGCCCAACCTTCCTTCCAGGGAGTGGCTGGTGGGTTAGAGTTAGCTATGGCAAACATTGGGAGAGCTCTGGTAGTGTAGTGCCTAAGGCATTTGACTGCTAACCAGAAGGCTGGCGGTTCAAACCCACCAGCCACTCCTCAGAAGGAAGGTTGGGCAATCTACTTCCGTAGTGATACTGCCTCAGAAACCCAAGGAGGGGTTATTATGAGTCGTGTCCGACTCCATGGCACATAAGAGCAGCAACAACAGCATGGCAAACATCAAGTATTTAAGTATTATGTTTACTTTTTATCTTACTAGAAAACTGAGCCTTTATTATGTGCAAGATCTGTTTCCAGTTGTAAGTAAAATGGCGAAGAGAGGTGTTATTTCAGTAAGGGAGAGAAGGTGGAATAAAGCAAGGTGGAACTTGCTGAGGTCCTTCAGAGAGGCTCACAGAAAACCCACTCCTCTCAAGTCAGTTCAAAGTCATAGCAACCCTATAGGACAGAGTAAACCGCTCCGTAGAATTTTCAAGGCTATAAATCTATGGAATCAGACTACTACATCCTTCTCCCATGGAGTGGCTGGTGGGTTCAAACCACCCACCTTTCACTTAGCAGATGAGCATATAACCACTGCACCACCAGGGCTCCTGGGCTCACAGAGACAGCATTAACAGGGCACATGTAGCCCCAGCAGAGGGAAGCCAGAAGCTGTTCTGATAGAAATAATATGCTGACGCATGGTTTGAAGTTAATTCCAACTCCTGTGTGTACGAGTAGAGCTGTGTCCTGTAAGGTTTTAATTCGTTGATTTTTCATGAGTAGATCACCAGGCCTCTCTTCTGAGGACCTCTAGGTAGACTTCAGGCTTTTGATTAAATGCACTGCCGTGGAGTCGGATCTGACTCATAGCAACCCCTCATTCGGTTTCCGATGCATTATCACTATGGAAGTAGATTGCCCAAGCAGAAAAGCCCTCAAAATAGAAGCCTTGCTGCAAAGTTTCATAAATACCTTCTTCTTTTGTAAAATGAAGATAGTTTTAAGGTTACAAGCAGGTTTTTAAATAGGACAAATTAAAGAAAAATCACTGCTCATTTGGAAGGCTGAGGATATTAGTTTGAAATATTAATTCATGTTACCAAAAACTGTCATTAATACTTCCTGATTAAAAAAAGAATTTTGCTTGTACCAGGTACATGCTTTGTATGGATCCTAATTTGTAGTCGTAAGAATTGTTTTTCAGTTACAAGGAAATGGGTCCCTAACAGGAATATTTTTTGAGGAATGCTAAATCACCTTTGCTTGTTAGTCCACTGAATCTGGGTCAATTTCATGCTGCCTTTAAGTAGTTAATTTTAATATGTGGTTTGGGCTTTCTTATTCTTTTGATACTTAGTAAATGAGTGGTGAATAATGGAAATGTGGCTTCTGATGTCTTTTTTAGACATTGCATGAATAACTTTTTTCTCTCCACAGATTTACCTAGGGTAAATATAAGGCCCATGGGGGCAGGGATTTTTATGTAATTTGTTTGCTGATAACATGTCACAGAGGAAGCACGTGTTGAATGAATGAAAGCATAGTGAGCAGGAAAAAAAAAATTCATTATCAATAGGGTATTGTTAGAGATTGTTCTTTAAAAATTAATACAGAGAAATATTTGAAAGACTTTCAAAGAGTTTTAGTTATAATAGTTTCATGAATTCATATTAATTCATTCATCTACTCAACAAATGCTTATTAAGCATCCAGTATTGATTCTGTCATATTTGGGGGAGAAAGTAAAAATAACAGTCCTACTCTGGAGGTGTTCATTCTCTAATGGAGCAACAGCAATTGAAATATAATAGAGATCTCTCTAAAGTGCCAGGGGAGGCACAAAGGACTGGGCATTAATTCTTTTAGGGGTGGGTGGTAAATGGATCACTACGTCCTTGGATGGTGCAAAGGGTTAGAGGTTCAAGTCTACCCAGAGGCACCTTGGAAGAAAGCCTGGTTACCTACTTACAAAAAATCAGACACTGAAGATCTGTGGAACACTCTTCTATCCTGACACACATGGGGTCAGCTTGAGTCTACTCAGAGGCAACTGGTTTAAGTAGAACACAGCATAAAGGAAAGTTTCATAGAGAGAAATTTAAACTAGAGTTTAAGAGTAAGTAGGAGTTCAACAAATAATGTAGAGGGAGCTAGAATGGAACTAATATTTAGTCCTTTAGTACATACTGTCCTAGTACTATAATGTTACCTCATTTAATTCTCAACTCTGCAACAGGTACTATTGTCCCCTTTTGTTGGATGTGGAAACTGAGTTTACAGTGGTTAAATGGCAGGGTTGCTAGTACAAAGTCAAGATTTTAAAGAAAAAAAAGCAAAACAAAACAACTCAAAACCTCAGAATGCATTTTCTTATTCTGTTACCATTTTGGGATTTGGGCTGGAGTTAATAGTAGGTACAAAGGCACAAAAAAATTAAAGCAGTATTTGAAGCATAAGGTAAGCAAGGGATAGCAGTGACAACTGGATTTTTTTGGGTAGATTAGATTAAAGAGACTTTATTTGGCCAGGCCTACCTCTCTTGGCATAGTGCCTAAGGCATTTTGACTGCTAACCAGAAGGCTGGTGGTTCAAACCC